CAGATTGTTTTATAGTTTTATATCTACTTAAGCCCATATTCTTTTTCATGTATGGGATGTATTTGTTGTGTGTCTTTTAATAGTTACATATCTTACATTCAATACTCTGTAATTTCTGTTTTATTTCATAAGCCTAACCAGGGACAGGGGTTGCAAATTAGTCATGGCTAGAAACCTGTATGCGTGGCATCTACTTTGTATTTACTATAAAGCAATGTTTTATGCATTTGTCCCTGTCAAATAAATCTTAAATAAAAAAAAAAAAAAAAAAAAAAGTGATGGTGTTAAGTACCTCAGGGGGTAAGTCACCTAGAACCTCCGCGTCCCGTCCAGGGACCAGACATGGAGTTTCCAGAGGTCTGGACGCGGGTGCCATAGGGTGCCCCGTCTCTGAGTCAGAAGATCCTTCCTCAGAGGAATGGGCCAGGGAGGGACTGTCACAAGGAGCATGAGTTCTGAGAACCAAGTCCAGGTGGGCCAATAGGGAGCCACCAGAAGGACCTGCTCCTTGTCCTCCCTGACTTTGCACAGTGTCTGTGCAAGAAGGCTCACTGGGGGAAACGCATATTTGCGAAGGCTCCGGGGCCAGCTGTGTGCCAGTGCGTCCGTGCCGAGTGTTCCCTCTGTCAGGGAGTAAAACAGCTGGCAGTGGGAGGTCTCTGAGGAGGCAAACAGGTCCACCTGAGCCTCCCCGAACTCTCTCCAGATCAGCTGAACCACCTGGGGGTGGAGTCGCCATTCTCCCGGGAGCACTCGTGATAGCTAGTCGGCCACACGGTTGAGCACGCCGGGGACATGCATGGCTCGAAGCGACCTCAGATGCTTCTGACTCCAGAGGAGGAGATGGCGGGTGAGTTGCGACATGCGACGGGAGCGTAGACCACCTTGCTGGTTGATATACGCAACGGTCGCAGTGTTGTCCGTACGGACCAGCACATCCCTGCCCTGCAGCGGCCTTTTCAGACGGCGCAGAGCGAGATGTACTGCTAGCAACTCGAGGCAATTGATATGCCAATGCAGATGAGGGTCTGTCCACACCCCTGAAACTGCATGCCCCTTGTACGTGGCACCCCAGCCGGTGGCAGAGGCATTTGTGAATACCACAGCGTGCCTGGATACCTGTTCCAAGGGGACTCCTGCCCGAAGGAACGAGGGATCTGACCACGGGCTGAAGGTCTGACGGCAGGCCGGTGTGATTGCCACCCGGTGAGTGCCGTGATGCCACGCCCATCTCGGGACTCGGCCGTGAAGCCAGTGCTGAAGCGGTCTCATATGAAGCAAGCCGAGCGGGGTTACTGCTGCCGCTGCTGCCATATGCCCCAGGAGCCTCTGAAAGAATTTCAGTGGGACCGCCGTCCTGCCCTTGAAGGTGTTCAAGCAGTCCAGCACCGACTGAGCGCGCTGCGCGACCGAATCCAACTCCATACCGAGAAAAGAGATCCTCTGCACGGGGGCGAGTTTGCTCTTCTCCCAGTTGACCCGAAGACCCAACTGGCTGAGGTGCCTGAGCACTGTGATCGCATAACTGATCTCGAGAGTGTGCTAGTATGAGCCAGTCGTCGAGATAGTTGAGGATGCGAACACCCTGTTCTCTCATGGGAACAAGGGCCCCCTCCGCGACTTTCGTGAAGACACGGGGGGGCAGGGACAGCCCGAAGGGTAGGACCTTGTACTGATATGCTCTACCCTCAAACGCAAAGCGCAGAAACGGCCTGTGTCGAGGGAGAATCGAGACATGAAAGTACGCGTCCTTCAGGTCGATCGCTGCAAACCAATCTCGGGGACGGATGCATTCGAAGATGCGTTTGTGCGTGAGCATTTTGAACGGTAGCTTGTGGAGGCTCCGATTCAAAACTCGCAGGTCCAAGATCGGTCGTAACCCACCACCTTTCTTGGGTACAATGAAGTAGGGACTGTAGTGCCCTGACCTCATATCGGCTGGAGGGACCGGCTCTATCGCGTCCTTTGCCAGTAGGACTGCGATCTCCGCGCGCAAGACATGGGCATCGGCTGCTCTCACTGTAGTGGAGTGGATGGCCCGAAACTTGGGGGGACGCCGGGCGAACTGAATCGCATAGCCGATCCTGATGGTCCGGATGAGCCAGCGAGACGGACCGGGGAGCGCTAACCAGGCTCTCAGAGACCGTACAAGCGGGACCAAGGGGACCGTAGGCGTACCCGGAGTGGGGCAGCGAAGTGGAACACAGGGACCTGGCTGGGGGGGCTCTCTCTGGGAGGCAGCCCCCAGCGAGGTCTGAGCGGGCTGTAAAGCGCTTACCTGGTTACACGGGGCAGGAGGTGCGGGAGGCGGCTCGGTGGCGTTCTCAAACCGTACACTGCTGCCAGCTGGCGATAGAAGAGGAGGATGAGAGTGGTAAGGATTTTGTCCCCCCACTGCTCTCCGAGTCCTCTTCGGACCCAGAGATGATAGAAACTGCTCTTTTATTGAAAATTTGGGTACCGCTGGCTCTGGGGCCAGCGGCGGAACAAAACAAAACAAAAGATTTTACACCCGGCCCTCTTCCTGGGGAGGGAGCGATGCGGCCATCGTCTCCTGGAAAGCAGTCCCTGCCATCTCTGGGTTGCCCGTCCTAGGGCCGCTTGGTGCTGGCTTTGCCGCCCCTCTTGGTGGGAGCCTGGACGGGCGGGGCGTTCTGCCTGCGACTGGCTCCCGCGTCGCAGCAGCAGCCTCCACCAAAGGGGCGCCGCGGGAGCCGGGGAGGGCGCAGGCGGACGCCCCGGGCGACAAGCAGACTGAGGAGCCGCCGGCGGTGGGGTGGAGGCAACAGCTGACCGCCGAGGCAGGATGTGTTTGATGGCCTCAGTCTGCTTCTGTACAGCCGAGAACTGCTGGGCGAAGTTCTCGACCGCGTCGCCGAAGAGGCCGGTCTGGGACACGGGGGCGTTGAGGAACCGGAACTTGTCGGTCTCCCGCATGTCAGCCAGACACAGCCAGAGATGGCGTTCCTGGACCACCATTGTGGACATCGCACGGCCCACTGAGCGAGCGGTAGCCTTCGTCGCACGAAGTGCGAGGTCCGTCGCCCGCCGGAGTTCTTGGAACACCAGTGGGTCATGACCACCCTCGTCCAGTTCCTTCAGTGCCTTGGCCTGATGGACCTGGAGCAACGCCAAAGTGTGCACGGCAGAGGCAGTTTCCCCACAGGCCTTGTAAGCCTTGCCGGTTAAGTCCGACGAGTACTTACAGGCCCGGGAAGGGAGACACGGTTCTCCGCGCCAAGTGGAATTAGGGCACAGTTGCATAGCAACGGCCCGCTCCACCGGCGGGATGCGCGCGTAACCCTTAGCTGCCCCGCTGTCAAGGGTGGTTAGGGAGGAGGAACTACTGGAGCGGTTTCGGGCAGTAAAAGGTGCCGTCCACGTCCCAGTGAGCTCCTCATGCACCTCCGGGAAGAAAGGCTCTGGGGTGGGTTGCTGAGAGCGAGCACGCGCCACCCCGAGATACCAATCATCCAGCCTCGAGGGTTCAGGACCCGGTGGAGGGTTCCACACGAGTGCGACCCTCTCGGCGGCCCGGGAAAGCATGGCCATCATCTCCGGGTCCGTATCGGGCACCGCTGGCACCCCCGAAGGAGGCAGCGGCTCTGACACGTCGTCCGCAGAGACATCTGACCCACCCTCCGATGCTGCGATCGACATATGTTCATCGCCGGGAGCGCCAAAGGAAACGGCTGGTACACACCTCGTGGATGGTCCAGCGCGCTCCCTTGGCAGCTCACATGGTTGCGGAGGCTGAGAGGAGTGAGGGTTCCTAGGGGGTTGGTTCCCCGAAGGAAGCGCGCTCACTGTAATCCTCAGGTCACCCGCGCCAGCGTCCGAAGCAACCCTCGCAGGAGGATTGGAACGGGGCGCCGGCACGGGGACTCCGCCTCTTTGCAGGAACGAGAGTCTCGACCTCAGCTCCGAGATGGTCATCTTCCCACAATGGGTGCATGACTCATCCACGAACGCTGCCTGTGCGTGTTGTAAGCCCAGACACACAAGACAGTGTTCGTGACCATCCGGCGATCCCAGGTAACGACCGCATCCAGAAACACACAGATAGAATGTCATCTTTAAAAAGACGCAAACTATCTGTGTAAGCTCTTTTAGGAACTGCTCTCGCTGATACTGAGGCACACAGGGGGACAGATGCAGACGATCACGGCCGGGAATGTGCACCCGTACGTGCACTGATCAGCTCTCGTGCTCAGTTTACCAGCTGTGAAAACAGCTTTTGTGTTTCTTCGCCGGTGAGAGGAGATCTGTCCACGCTGTCGCGCCGTAACACCCGTACCAGAGAGAGAGAGTTTGCTTGAAGAAGTCACTCTAAGCAGAGGCATCGAAGTTTAGGCTGCGAAGCAAAAAGCTGAAGTGCAATCACACAGCCGCTCGTTATATATCCGCGCTGACGAGGACGCGCAGCTGTTGCAAATGATTGCACGCCAATGTGCATTGGCTTGTTTTAGATTCACTCGAAGTAAATTGGCTCTCTAGCGAGATTCCTATTGGTCAGTCTGACCTACGTTGTAGTGACTGACCGATAGGGAACTATTGTTATTTCTCTGTCTTCAGTCTGAGTTATTGCAGTATTACAGAGAAACAGAGTCTCATCCTGACTTCAGCTCTGAAATCAAACCCGTCACACTTGAGAGAGCTGGACCTGAGCGGGAATAATCTAGGAAACACAGGAGTGAAGCACTTATGTGCCGTACTGAAGGATTCACACTGTAAACTTGAGAGATTGAGGTCAGTCACATTCACATACATGAATCAAAATGCTTAAAATCACTTCTGTTTAAACTAGAACACATTAACATTATATTTGTAAAAACAATTTCACCTTAGTATTTTGTGATCTGGTGAAATAAAGATGAAGATCTCTCTTCCTCTGTCTGTTTTATTTGCTGACGAAGATGATGTGACTTTACAGAATAAAGAGTCTCTTATTTTCTTCATTCTCTCTCTCTCTCTCTCTCTCTCTCTCTCTGCTAATATAGGTTAAGATACTGTGATATGACAGATGAAGGTTGTTCTGATGTGACTTCAGCTCTGAAATCAAACCCGTCACACCTGAGAGAGCTGGGCCTGAGCTGGAATAAACTTGGAGACTCTGGAGTGAAAAACCTCAGTGATCTACTGATGAACCCACAATTCAAGCTGGAGAAACTACAGTTAGTATCATTATACTGTACAGCAATTACAGTGTGACTGAAGTTTATTTATTTGAAGACAGCAGGGCTTATGTTTCATTGGTTATAGCAGTGCACTTTCTGGGTTTCCCTATTGCTCACATTTTTGTGTGTTTTTTTTCAGTGCTGTCAATCGATTAAAAAAATTAACTTGATTAATCACTATTAAAAACAAAGCTTTTATAGGTTTATATTTAGTTTATATATTTCACTTTCTGGGTTTTTTAAACTAAAACACTTTATACTCAATATATGACAGTGAGTCTGAGTTCACATTATATCTGTGTAAAATTCTTCACATTCATGATTTGTTTGTAAGATAATCTCTCTTCCTCTGTTTGTGTCTCTCTAGTCTATATGGCTGTGGCATTACAGATGTTTCTTCTTTAACTCAGTCTTTGACTAACTCAAAAGCACTGCAGTTTTTAAAAGAGCTTGAGCTGAGAGGCAATAAGATAGGAGACTCAAAGCAGCGGCTCAGAGACGAGCTACGAGACTCAAACTGTGTCCTGAGGTGAGGAAACATCACTGAGATATTAAAGAGATCTTCATTTACCTCTGATATGTGAACAATCCTTTCAAACATTCGTGAAAGGAAATTATCATAAAGCTTTATTGCAACAAAGGGTTTGTGTGAGAACAAAATGTGAAGTTATTGAAATGTTTAACACAAAGGAGGAAAGAGAACAAAAGCTCAGTCACAGCTTTATACATCAACACCTGCTTTATGAACTCTGTCAGTTTGTGTTTAACTCAAAATAACATTAGTATTTGCTCCCTGTGGTTTATTCCATACGCCGTACACTCATTAGTTTCTCCTTTACAGAGACTCAATAGGAGTCGCACCGACACACACAGACACACATATGAACATGATTCAGGCTTTACATCTATTATATTTAAAAACGCATATCTATGCAAGATCATGTAAAGTCGGTTATTAATCTGATTACAGGAATTCAATTTAACTTATTTTTTACTCAAAAAACAGTAATTGAAATATAATAATTTGCACTTTGTTCCACTGAACACTGATTGTTTTCTCTTCTGTTCCACTTTACAGAGTAGATTAAGATCAATCACCAAACGTCAGTGGATTTACATCATGATTTAAATCTGTGAAACGGAGATGAGAGGAGCAGAAACCATCAGGCGATCCACAGAAGAGTCTCACTGCTGTCTATGAGGAGAAATACATGTGTAAATGTGTTTCATACAGGTGGAAGAGACTCAGACTTCACTATTAAATAAAGCAGCGTGTGTGTTAGCATGCGTATTAGAAACATGTGATGTTGAATGATTAATGTTGGTTTATTATTCAGCCAAATGATGGTTTAGTTGTAATTAAAGGTGGAACAGAGGAAGAAGCTCAGATGAGTGTCAGCAGAAATCTTCACTATCAGGCCTGCAAATATAATAATGTTTAGACTAAACTCATCCATAATGATTAAAATATGTCTAATCATAAACGTGATTGTCAAGTATAGCACATAAATGTTTCAAAAGATGTAAAGTTTACATGCAACTTTTAAACATTTACATTATCTCTGTAACATTTTATTCACAGAATATCTTTATTGTTATTGTTGTATTGTATATGAAGTTAGTTATGTGTGTGTGTGTGTGTGTGTGTGTGTGTGTTGCTGATGCACAGATGTACAGTATATTGTCTTTGTTCTGTGGATGAAGTCTCTTCTCCTCTACAGACCGACTAAACATTTTCCCCAGTGAACAGCATTTGTGTGTGTTTCACTCGCTCCTCAGAGAGCAGACGGATGTGGGCCACTTCAGGCGATGATGCGGCACTGCAGGCCTTCTTATGGCCCCGACAAAATGTATGTGAGCCTGAAGTGGCCCACGTGTAAAATGGCAAATATGGCCCAAATATTTAAAATCACATGTGGGCCTTTTTAGGCAAAGATGCGGCACTCATGGCAATGTGTAATCTGAATGTGGGCCTAAAGTGGCCCATATGATAAATAATGAATATGGCCCAAATATCACAAACCAAATGTGGGCCACCTATGGCAAAAATGTGGCACAATCGACAATGACTAATCTGGGTGTTACCAAATATTATTATCTTAAAACATAACTGGGCCAGTTTTGGCAAAGATGAGGGACTATAATCACTGTGAATCTGAATGTGAACCCATGGGCGTCAGTGTGGTCTGAAATGTGCTGGGGACAGAGACACATTCATTTTTTTTTCTCTTTCGCGCTGGTCATGTTTTGAAAGATGATGTCCTGTAGCTTACTAATGTAAATAAATAAAAATGTATACAAAAATGTGATGATGTCCGACTCGTTTTATGAAAAAGAAAGCCTTAAGTTTTTAAAAAGCATTAGACATATATGACCCACTATTCTGCTTCAAGTAGCCTACCATGTTGACAATATGACATGACGTGGTTTAATGTACCTAAACAATGATTACCCAATTTCTCTCTAATGCTCCTCATAACCACTGAAAACGGTAAAAAAATCAAACCCAAAGTCCAGTTATTATGGAGGTTATCTGACATTAAGCGTTTCTGCTTCACATTTTCAGCAGGGCAGCGGAGCGGCTGTCGACTCCCCACGGTTCTCATGGGCTTTATATATAAGTCCTAACGTGAAAAAGCTTTACGTGGTTTACCTAAACAACGATCACCAAACGATTACAGTTGTTGCAGTGTTATGAACAGAGAAGCGTGTAGCAGCGCAGCCGCAGAAGGCTAAATTGAGCTCGAGGTTTTCAATAAAAACAGTGGTGGGTAGAAAATGACTCATGACGAAATCTGGTGGGGACGCCTATGTGTGAACCTAAAGTGGCCCACACATGACAGAGCAAATATGGCCCGATTACATTGCTGTGGCGAGCAGGACGAGGTCGAGGGCCGTGAGAGGACGGCGTGAGGCCGGTGGCGTGATTGATAATGAGTGACTCCAGCGCGACACACAGTATCTCTCGCATCTCTCACGGAGGAGCGGAAGCATAAAAGGAGGAGAGACAGTGGAGATTGAGAGAGGAACAGGCCTGAACTTGTGTTATGTTCTGTTTCTGTCGTCCGCGAGCGGCTGCTGGCTTATACTTTCATTTGTGTAGATGTTTTATTTTGTTATTAAAAGTGTTGAATGTTCGCCGGTTCCCGCCTCCTCCTTCCCATAACAACGAACTTCGTTACAATTGCAAAATAATTTGGACAACATTTGGCAAATGAATGGCACAGTCAGCACTGGATAACCAGGGTGTAAGCCTTATGGCACAGTAAGCAACATGTGTGTGTGTGTGTGTGTGTGTGTGTACTGTAGGGATGGGAAATGAAGCCTCATGAAGCACTGAGGCTTTCCCCTGAATGTTTCGGGAAAAGATTCGAAGCATCGAGAGTGTCGAGACTTCCGGTAATGGCGGAGCAGCGCTCAGTCGCACCACAGAGCCGCTCGCTTAATAACAGTCTTCTGGCCTCCCAACTTTGCTTTTAACGACGGTGGAACTACTTTATTGTTGTCGGTAACGTTTTTACACCATATTATGTCCGAACAAAAACAGAATAGGAAACAGAAATGTAAAGGCAGAGCTCAAGCGCTGAAGCTAACGGACCACAACTACGTTGCTAGCCAAAAAGGTCAGGGCCCGTATTCCTAAAGAATCTAAGAATCCTTTTAGAAAACTCTTAATTTAGCTTAAAAACTTTTACGTAGGAGTCTTAGCTTAAGAGTGATTCGGGACCGATCTGAGAGCAACTCTGAGTAAGGAAAAGACAAAAACTCTCATCTTAGTGAGGAGGCGGGGCTGACCCCGTTGCTATGTATGACACAATCTTTTGAAGACTGTGATTGGTTGGTTGTCCAAGAAGGAAAAAAAAGAGCCATTTTAAGTATAGAGTTTACTCACACATGCACACACACACACGCACATTATTTTTATGTATATAAATCCTTTTTTTTACCTTGCTGTTAATTTGATTGGCTTAGAATGATAAAAATTGTTCCACTCTTTCCAATTACACTGATTGCTGTCTATTTAAGTGGTGGTTTGAATGTTTGTTTTGAAAACATGGATTAAAAAACAAGAAAGACGAGAAAGCCTGACTGGTCAGAAGAACCGTGTTAACTGTTAGCCGAGTTAGTGGATAAACACTAGGCCGTCCTTAAAGGAAAATTCGGGCAGGGTGTCACAGCATGGAGTGAGAAGCGGACGCGGGAGCTTATAGCGCACATTATTAACGGTTCATTCCCCTGCTTGTGCGCACCAGGGAAGCCTGCTATTCATAACTGCAGTTTCTTGAGCCTGCAAGGTGGGAATGTCCAGTGGAAACTAAATGAACTGCGACACAATAAGAGGTTCTGAAAGTGCTGTAATGTTTGTGTGATCACTGCTTACAGAAGGTTGTCACAGACCCAAATCACTATTGCTTTATTGCATTTTCCCATTTGCCAAATATCTTAATGTAGTGATCATTTCTGGCGTTATGGCATTCCTGCGCTGTGTCGGAGATATTAGCGTGTCTCTAATAAGATCAGTCACAAACATGATCACTGCACAATCTCATCTATAGCGTCTTATTAACTCACTGTCGTCATCTATTGTCTGCATCACATTTCTTCTCCCTCTTCATCGTTCTGTCATTTTCTCCTCTGCTAAAGAAACTCTTAAGCCTCTTAAAAGTCCTCATCCATACTCCTAACAATTTTGACCTTAAGACCTCTTTTAAGGGTTAAGATGCTTTCTGAATTACTTTTTTCTTTACTAGGATTTTTTCTTTAATTTTAAGAGTAAACGCCCACATTTCTAAGAATTTTCTTAGAATTTTGTCACTAGGAGCTACTTTTTACATTAAGATTCTTTAGGAATACGGGCCCTGGTCGTGAGATATTGCACACGTTGCGAGTCAGTTAACTTGATAATCGCGTCAAAGCAGCTGGTACACGGCACGACTGTCCTGCACGAATTTTATCCCGAGCCGGCGGCAATCACATGAGCTTTTGCGCTGAACACA